TTAGTATTACTCTCTGTCTTCTACAAATAACCTAACTCTCTGTCTACTACAAGTAACCTTACTCTCTGTCTACTACAAATAGCCTTACTCTCTGTCTACTACAAATAGTCTTACTCTCTGTCTACTACAAATAGTCTTACTCTNTAATAGCCTTACTGTCTGTCTACTACAAATAGTCTTACTCTCTGTCTACTACAAATAGTCTTACTCTCTGTCTCAGTGATACATTATTATAGCAGTACATTAAGCTACACACCTAATACCTTGATTCTGTGTCTGATAATTCGCCATTAAAATACAGTTTTTTATCGAAAGATTTATCAAGACAAGTTTTTGAAACAACTCGATAGCCCTTTGTTAAATCGTTTACTTCTGTAACATTGAAATAGATTGTTTGGTAAAAGGTAATGCGCTTTGTATACCCAGCGAGACCCATACTCGCTACCAAGCAAGGACAAACTAAGATGTCGGCACTTCCTTAGAAACGATAGACGGAAGAGATGGGGAAGATCTCAAAACAGGAAAAAAAACATCTCAGTTTAAAGCTTTTTTACCTGCACTGTAAGCTTTAAGTACTTCTACGTTATTTGAGCCTGAACTCTCACCCACAATTCTTGGTCAAGCATTCATTTAACTGATACTAAACCTGAGAGGGTTTGAGGATCCACACACACACACACACACACACACACACACACACAGTCAATCATTACAACACATGTACAGGGGCGTTTATATTGTGTGCCACCACTAGTCAATATGTACGATAAAAGGCCATTTGTGAGATATATAATCTTTTATAAATGTTAATATTTATATTAGGAGAATTGTAGTGACTTGAACAAAGCATCCAGTGCATAGTAGATACTGCGATGGCCAATATATGTTATAGCTCTTAACAATTCCATTTCTGTTAATGAATAATGCAACAGTCGTTCTGTTTCAGAGATGCGAGTTGATTAAGAATACCAGCAATTATATGGTCGCCTACATGATCTTATTGAGAAATGTGTTAATTATTGTGTGATTTTTTATGCATTAGTGTGTTTTGTTGTTTCGTTTTCACTACCTCAGTTTCTCTCTTTGAAAACGTTAAATTACTTTGATTTGACCTAGAATTTTATGTCGGATGCCGTCGATGTTGCAGGAGGCGCTTTCTCTTCCGGAACACTGAACTCTTTTTTGTTCTGTATTTTGTTTTGCTGTCTAAATAAACCTTGTTAATATTTGTCGAGTTTTATCGAGGTTGAGTTCGAATTATGTTATGTCGATACTAAGGTACATTTGTATTCTCCTTTATTTTATTATATTTTCAAATACGTGCTTCCTGGTTACATAGTTCTAGTAATTATGCAAAGTCATAACTGAAACGTATACCATCAGATAAGAACTGACAGGTGCGAGCGTGAAATTTACACCGTATTGATGAAGATCACAGTGTAGACGTTACCAAACTAATACAGTGTGGATGACGATAAACTGCATCCCAATATTACATTTTTACATAGGTTAAATACGAATATACTATTGAAATGAAACTAGATAATATTTTGATTACGATTGGAGAATTTGGATTGTACCAGAAATATGCATATTCTCTGATATGTTGGACCTCCTTATACATGGGATTGTATGCGGTGATGTCGGTGATATTTCTAAATACCCCTCAGCACAGGTAAGTAACAAATCTGTTTGTTTAATATATGCTTCCATTTAATGTCATTATTATATAAGTTAGACCAGAGTACTGACACAGATAAAATCATAAAATGAAGCTATGACCGTTTTTATCAAAATACCCATATCTACACGAAAAATATAAAGGTAAGCATGGAAGACTGTGGACAAGTTTAATAGTCGCAATCATATATTTTTCCAAAGGGCAATATGCTTTTTTTTGTGTGATGTGACGGTCGATGTTCTTTTATAATTATACCCATTAGTGTGCCTTGATGTTTTGTTGCCACTTCCAGAGTTGTCCGTGTGAGGACGTGACAATACTTGGACTGTATCTAGATTAACATGGAGAGTATCGTCCATAAAACAGACGCTTACCCTTCCGAAACACCTGGTCTTAATTTACGTATACGTTTTTAAGTGTCTATGTGTACATCTTTCCTCTGTTCATATTTTCCCCTAGTTCTGATTTATTTTGATTTCGAATTATTCACTTCGGTATTCTCTTGTTGAAAAAGCAATAGAGTGTCATAGTATTGTATTTAAGCGTTATTTGTATTTTACCAGGACAAGATTTCGCCATGCCTTTGTGTATATATGCATCTATCAGTAACGGGTGAAACAACATGTAACAAGTCATTACCAAATTCATCAGCCACTCTGAACAACTTACTGTCGGATACGACAGTTTAGAACCATTCATTGCCGAATACATAACTTTAAACAATTTACTCCCGGTTAAAAATAGACATTGAACACATCGTTGCTGGATACCACAATTTTGAACCAGTGTATGCCGGTTACGTAACTTTGAACAAGTTATTGCCAGATAAAAAATACGTTGAACATGTCACTACCGAATACAACAACTTCAATCCAGTCACAGCCGTATACAACAACTTGGAATCAATTACAATTACATCCTTTAGGCCGTATTATACAGTCACTGAACTCTGCAGTCATTTGGTAATATAAACATACTTTACTTGTCTAGAATATTGGATACCTTCAACATTAGGAATGTCTCCTGTTAAAAGCTTTTCCTTTGGCAGTTTATTTATATTTAAGATTGATAATAATCATTAATTTATTATGAAACATTTGGTTTGCAGATGTAAAATTCCATACTTTGAGAATGACACGTACGACATATCCAGTGCCTTTCATCAGAATCTTATCAACAACTACATACCTCCCTCATCAGATGATGACACACTCGACTATGACCAGTGCCATCTGTATTCGTTTGATTACAACAATGCTAAGTTCGACAACTCCAGCAGACCAATTAATGCTTCCCTCATTAAATGCAATGATTGGGTGTACAGTGATTCTATGTTTAAAGAAACTTTTACCACAAAGGTATGATAGCAATCTAAATGACGCTATTGTTTTTATATCTTTTTTTTTCTGGTTAACATTTTCCCGAACGTGTTCACACATTTATCTTTACTACTGTATTGTTAAATCGAATATATCAGTTACTTTTCACTAATTCCGATGGTTTATGTAGAGGTATAGTTTTTCATTTCATCAATAATCGTCTTGTTGTGATACGTTCAGATTAACCTGTAAATACTAGTTATGTCAATCCTTTTTCTTCGTTCCCGGATTATCCAGCTCAACATTGTGTGTGACAGGAAACATCTAACATCACTTGTGAAGTCTCTCTTCTTCGTCGGGAAGCTGGTCGGAGCATTAGTATTTGGCACTCTATCTGATGTGTGAGTAGCATTTTGTACAGCATATTCGGTATAGATATACTGTATATGTAATTAGTAAATGAATATTGCCATCATTTAAGGAAAACAACACAATACATTTGAACTAGATGCTTATCAAAATCTGTATATTTATATATATATATATAAGTCTCATGGGTAATAACGACAGTATGATTCAATATTGGCAGTGGATCCGAACAAACAAATGTAAGATGGGAGCGTATCACTTAAATTATTTTACAGGGCAAAGAAGTAATAACGATAGTACAGACAAAGACATTTGTCAAATTTCTTTGTCTTTACTATCGTTATTACTTTATTGCCCATAAATCTGTATATGTATACCTGATGTCTTCGGTTATTTTGTCGCACTCCTGAAATAGTATTGTTTTCAACGGGTGACGGTCATATTTATATAAAAGAATAATCCATGTTATCCTTGTTGATAACTAGTATTTGAAACAATTTAATACGAGGATGACGTCATCAAACGATCCGTGAGAAATGTAATGGCTTACGTTTAGGGTTGAAATTTCGATTAACCACGATGACAACATTGTAATGTAAATTCCCGTTAACTGGATTTACCCAAAAACTGAGTCGTAGAGGACGTGACCCTTCAACAGTAAATGTTGGCGGAGCGAGGTCACCTGTACAAAAATTCCACGCTTTCCATTTTTCAACCGATGAATTGTTTCTCATTTAAACGTGCATCCCCTGCCCCTGCTTATAGTACATATATATGGACCACACATAGCAAAATCCTCTTATTATGATTAACGACTAAGCTTTCGGGAAATTGCAATCAGCGAGAGCATACATTACAATGTTAGATATAAGTATAAGGTACTTTAAGTAAGTATATTCTTTAAGTTTATTTTTAAGCTAATATAAACATCAATAAGGATACGTCCAGCGGTAGAGCAAATAGTTTCGATAACACTCAATTAGAATTACATATTAACTTCAGGGTTGGCCGTAAGACGACTCTATGTTTCTCCCTGATGATGATGTTCGGACTGTCATTCGGTATGACCTGGTCTCCCTCCTACATCGTGTACGCTGTAATCATGACGGGCATCGGTGCTGCTACACAGGGAATCTTTCCTGTCGCGTTTGTCCTCGGTAAAGTGTTTACCTTTATACTATTTAACATACAATATAGGCTGTATATAACAGGTTTATCAAATAACCTTTTGTGATAGGGTAATTAACCTCATAAGTGTTAAGGTCACATTACATTCATAACTTGACGTCTGATACAATAAGATAACGCAATGAGACTCAATAAGAGAATGCTTCGACTTTTAGCCATGTCGCGTTAAGGTTTTGTTAATATTATTCATACAGGTGTTGAGTTGGTTGGTCCATCAAAACGGAAATACGCTGGCATAGTTCTCGAGTTTTTCTTTTCGATTGGGTTGATGATGGTTGCTGGTGTAAGCTACTTTGTGAGACATTGGTACTACATCAGCATTATTTGTTCGACACCGGCTGTTTTGTTCATTGCTTACTGGTGGTACGTATCTTATAATAGAATAAGCATTGGGGTAGCCCATTATGAAATTTCTAATACCAAGGAAACATTCCTTGCGTTCTTATCGAATGAAACTTTATAGAAATATCAAAATTATCTGTTTGCAATATATTCGATGAAATTAATCTGTCACAGAAGAGCTCATTTACATGCCTAAAATGTAATAATAGATGAGGTGCATAACGAAAGATAACAAGCCTTAAAGGGACATCACGTGAAAAGGCGTTTTTTTTTTAATGAATGTATGTATTGTAGGCACTTCCACTTATGTTACCTCGCTATCCCCATATTCATAGTCCGTTCCAAATGTCCAGTTTGACCACTTGAATTGTTCGGGAAAGCCCTGCTAAAAATAGCGCCGATAACGTCACCTGACTAGGCAGTAAACGGTTTCCAAAGTGGCCCCCAGAGAGGGGCCGTCAGGCAATTGCAACCTCTTACCGCACTATGAAACCAAGTTATATGATTTCTAAGTCCGTATTCAAACTTATTGAACAGTAATTATTCATCATTAGAAGTTAATTGCACACTTGCCAAT